GGCTCCAATTAGATTATCTAAAAGTTATCAAGTGAATTTAGTTATTTACTGACTTCTTTAATTTGGCAAGTTGACCGAATTTTGTGGGTATATTCACTGCAAACCCTCACGAGACTATAACTCGTCCACTAGGATAACCTAGAGGTTTAAAGGCTTGTTGTATGCGCTAAATACAACCGCGATTCCTGCGAAAGTGAGTTAGGATTTTCTTTTTATTTTCTTTGCTAGAGGACTAGCAAAAGTTTAGGTGTGGGGGTATTTGATAATCATATTTTTATTACAATTTTATATCCTTATTATCTATTTTATATGAATAAATATACCACTAATAATTGTTTTTATCTTTTAATTGCAGATTAATGAAGAATAAATCTTAACTTCTCATCTCTCAACAAAAACCCATTGATTAAATGAAGAAATGATTCAAGAAGCCAAAGTGCAATTTTCGAATTTGTGAAGGCCCAAGCAAAAAGATTACACAATGAAATATGGACTTGGCTTTGTTTTTCACATATGTACACGAATCGGACTTGGACAGACCGCTGCAGATCATGAATGGGCCGAAAAAAAAATCAAAGTTGGGCCGGATTTTTATTTATCTTTTGAAATCAAAATCAAATGCAAATTTGCATTGGACCAGACCTGCTGGCTATGGATTTGATTGCTGGACTTAGAGAGTTGAATTTTCACAAGGGAAATGTGGACTTGATTTGGGCCAGTTGCTAAAGATTTGAAGTGGGCCGAACATCTTGTGAAGACTTGGTTTTATTTCCAAAAGCAAATGAAATGAAGAATGGGCCGAATCAAGTGGGCTGGACAACATAACTTGGCTTGGATTTTTCATGAAAAATCATCATTTGAAAATAAAATGAATCATGCTGCAGTTGGAAACCGAACTTGGATGTGGATGCTGCACTTGGATGTTAAGTGGGCTGGATTTGTGTGTGCTGCAACTTGGATTTTCACAAGACAATATGGTCAATAAATGAATGGAAATGGGCTGGACTTGCAATTGGAAAATCAAATGGAGAAATGGGCCGGACTTGTAATTTTCTTCTTGGAAAATCAAATTAAGATTGGGCCTTGGAAAATCAAATAAAGATTAGAACAAAAAGCAAATTCAAAGGTGGAGATTGTTGCTTGGGGCTCAAGACAAATCCAATGGCTCATATTCATTGAAGATTACTATAAATAGGGGTAGAGAGTGAGGGGTTAAGGGTGTGAAAATTTTTGTAACTCCTTTTGGAGAGGAGGGCTACTCTTAATTGAGAAGGCCTTCCAAAAATTGTAACTTTAGTTGCAATTAATAAAAATAATTTTTTCCTCTTTAAATTTGTTCTTTCTCCTCTTGTTGAATGATGAGGATGGAGATGAAGAGCAATTTGAAGGTTTGCATTTCTTTTCTCTTTTATTTCTTTTTAGTAATTTCTTTATTATTGCTTATTAGTTAGATTTAAATTCATGCTTGTAGTATAGATTTACTTTCTTGTCTTTTTTATTTTCTTTTTGCACTTTAATTTGTAGAGTAGATTTATTTTTCTTGCATTTAATTTCTGCAATTTATTTTGTAGTTTAGATTTTTATTTTCTTTGTAATTAGATTTATTTCTTGTTCATAGTTTAGATTTTTCTTTTCTTTTTAATTTTGTAATTAGTCTTCTTTTTCTTGTTTTTATTTCTTAAGATGTGAATTTAATTCTTGTAGGAATCTTAGAATTGTATGAAACTAGTCTAATTTCTTTTATATTGTATGAATTATTCTCTTGTACTTAAAATGTTCATGTTAGGATAATCAACTAGAGAACTAATCGGTAGAAGAAGAATTTGATAATCTATGCTTATCTTAAATGGTTTGATAGGTTATGCTTATGAATTCTAGGATTATTATCATGTTGTTGTTCTTATCATGAATAGTAATTTTAACTTAGATGATAATTTGATAGGTTACACTTTCCTTAAATGGTTTGATAATCTATGCTTAATAAATCTAAGTTGAAATATGATAAAAAGAGAATAGTTTATATTTTGTAATTGAAATTGGTTAGTGGATTATATTCTAGATTTCTTACCTCTTTTGAATCCTCCATCTTGACTTTCTTAAATTTTCTTTTCATTCTTAGTTTTATTTCTTGATTTTATTAATTCATATTTCTTGCCTTGTGATTTCATTTATTCTTTAATTCTTGTGATCTTGTCGTCATACTTTCTGAGGTGAATACTCATACTCATACTCATACTCTTGTGATCTTGTCGTCATACTCATACTAAGTATGTTCAAGTGCTTATGTTCTGCAAACCGAAGAAATTAAGATTCCAAAATGAATGGAATTTGCTATATATATAGGTGTTTTTTAGAAGAAATGATCATATTTATTAAGAGTTTTGGGTAAAAACAGGTTGGAATTGCAAGCATCTTTAGGCTACAGTTTCAGATTGTACTCTTGTTTTGCCTGAACTAGTACCTGAATTGTCAATAATTCAGTTTTGAACTTGGGAGCTCGAACTTGGGAGTATCGTCGTGTCGAAGATTGGGATGTTCACAAAGTAATTGCATTTGGGATGTTGACAAATAACTCATTGTTCTTATGCGCAAGTTGATATGGGATGTTGACAAATAGCTAAGTTGCTTTGAATTTCAGATCATTGCTTCTGATCAAAATGGAATACCATTTAGTTAAAAAGAAAGATATATTTCAACTGTAGGTGTCATATGAATGCGTTGTTTTAATGTGATGCATTGTTTTAGAACTAACAAGCAAATTTGGAAAAGAAAAATATATCTATGTGTGTTTACAGTATTAGAATGATGAGGATGCTAAGAAAAATGAACTAACCAGCACAAATCAGTCTCATTAATGAAATAATGTGTTCAAATGGTGTCAGTAATATGAAGACTACATAACGGGAAGGTGTCTAACAAATATAAAGCGAAAAAGAAATAAATAAGCATCAGGTATACACAGAGAAAAAGAAATAAATAAGCATCAGGTATTATTTTGCCATCTGAGTGTGTTTTTATTATTTTGCCAATTATTATTCACCATTTGCTATGAATATGCAAACTTTTGTATCTGAAGCCGTGGATCATGGAGTCAAGCAATCGTAATCGTCATGGACTGTTGTGCCATTGTGGAAGGAGGGCTATACTCTCCAGATCTGGAACTAAGACGAACCCCGGTCGATTGTTTTTGGGATGCGCTAATTGGAAAGTGAATAATTGTGGATTCTTCAAATGGGTATCTGATGAAGAGGAGTTTGAAGGTTCAAATGCAGAGCTTGTTCAGACGAAGCAGTCGAGCGTGACGCCGCAAGTTTCAAGAGCCGTGTCAAGTGGAGAATTGCGGGAAAAGAGAAAGATTGGGATTGATATTATGGATTTGTTGAAGCTTGTTATATTTGCTCTTTTATTTGGTATTTTTCTAGGATTTGTATTTGGTAGTTTTATTGGATTTGTGCTAAGTAGGGTGTAAGAATGTATCTATTGATTGATCACTTGAACGCAAAATGATGCATGGTATTTTTATTGGATTTTAATTGGAAGGGTTTGATTGATCACTTGAACGCAAAATGATGCATGGTATTTTTATTGGATTTTAATTGGAAGGGTTTGATGTTTGACAAATGTGTGAAAAGAGCTTCTCTTTTATTGGATTTTAATTGGAAGGGTTTGATGTTTGACAAATGTGTGAAAAGAGCTTCTCTTGCTATATCTGTTCAGTGTGTGGAGAGAGACTTGATTGTGGTTTTTTTGTAATCTGGAAAATTGTTTATACCCATCTATAATAGTATAGCACCTCCTAGTTTCAGTGGTGGATTCAGTGCTCATAATTTTAGAGGAAATTGTTCGTCTTGTCAGCTATGGCTATCATGTATATGCCAATGATTGTGGTTCTTTTGTAATCTGGGAATTGAAGTAGGAGTGTATGAGTTACTTGTGAAGTAGCTATGGCTATCATGGCTATCATGTATATGCCAACGATTGTGGTTCTTTTTTCTACTAATCAATGCATTACTTGTGAAGTTATCTCCAGAGAAGGAAGGAGACGTTTCTACTAATCAATGCATTACTTGTGAAGTTATCTCCAGAGAAGGAAGGAGACGTTGCTGGGTGACAGGAGTTTATGCATCCAAAAAAGATGTATCCATCCAAAAAATTATAGAAAATGTGTTGGTCTGGGGAGGGGCTTGGTTTGGTGGCTCACACGATGTATCCATCCAAAAAATTATAGAAAATGTGTTGGTCTGGGGAGGGGCTTGGTTTGGTGGCTCACACGGAGTGAATGTGCGTGTTGGTTTTCATTTTAGTTGAATGACTTAACGGACTTTTAGCGGCTAGTCTCATCTCTTTGGAGAATGAATTCGGTTTGAGGTTTTAATTCTTCTAGAATTTTTGCAGGGCTAATTAACATGTTAGTCAAATGTACATGGGGCCGAAGTGAAGCCAAAATTTGACAGAAATGACCTATAAACCCTGTGAAAATCTCCTATGTTCCGTAATAAAAGTTTTGACCAAACATACAGATGCTTACAGATTTATCACAAAACAGCAATCTTAAACGGAAAGTATTGCAGATATCATTGCATGTTATCTTGTATAATCTCCAGTCCAGTTAAACTAAACAAAACACAAAAACTATCTATAAAAGTTATTATTGCATCTTAAAAGATCATCCTTCAATAGAATTTTCCCCAGACTTGCACAATACCTGGTAGCCATGCCCTGTATCACACCTGACAAAACAGCAACCTTTTTATTGTTAGCATGGAAAAATTGTCGTATTCTCGTTATGCATAAAGCTGAGCCACAGCATGGAAAAACAGCCCAATGGAGACACAAACACTCATCAACAAAATAGACAACAAAACTGACCCAATAAAGGATAACAACCAGTTTCTGTTGAGGCACACCTGACAACTCAAAACCCATTCCCAGTCTACATTTCCAAGTAGCTTCCATTACAAAATAAACTCAAAACAATAGTACATTTGCAGTCTACATTACCAACTAGCTTCATTACAAAATAAACTCAAAACAAGTAGCTTCCATTTCCAGTTTCTGTTGAGAACTTCATCTGTATTAAAAAAAATTAAAAAAAACACATTATATTAAAAAAAGGGCAATGTACAAGTTATTTCGTATGTATTAACCATTACCTTCCACAAATCCATGCATTTGGTGCTCAAGAATCCAGACCAATTTTTGTTTAGCTGCAAATCACATGACAAATTAATATATAATTGTACTAAATGCAAAATTTATGTGTTATGAACTTTCATGGAAAAATATTAATTGTACCTTGGCAAGTTGACTTTACAGCTAGTTCTATAATGCCCGAGTTCACCACATCTGCTACATATACGTTTCTTCATTTCTTTCTTTTCTTGTGCTTGTTCTAAACCTGACTGGATTCTAGTTGCATTACGTGGACGACCTTTAGTCCTTGCAGCTCTATCAGGATCACGAACTGCAATCTGAGGAATGTGCTCCATTGTATGTGAGATGTGTGCAGAAATTTGAGGAGTATCCACCATTTGATCTTGATTTGAGGAATGTTCTCCAACTTCTTCTTGCAGTGGTTCTATAAATTTTGTCAACACATCATCTAGATTTAGCATCTTCTCTTCTGAAGCAAATGCAAGCTCGAGCGCATTGTTGAATTTTGCTCTTAAAGCCCAAGTTTTCAATAAGTTAATCTTCTCTTCACAGCTTGTGATGTTTCTTCCATATATAATGTTGCCAACCCTAATGTTACGATGTCGAGCATGTATAGTCCAATGGTGTAGGATATAATGGTCAGGTAATGAATCCATTTTCCTAGCCATCATTTGCGATAATATATGTCTACATACAACACCATTAGTTTCAAACAAAGCATAAGTGCAACGGAACTGCATCTGACTAGATTGTTCATAAGTGACCACCTCCCATTTTCCTCTATCTGTAAACTTACAGACCTTGTATTCAACAATGTCCCCATCTTTTCTCAATTCTTCACAAAACTCTGTACCAAATCCTTTGAATTTGTATTCAACAATGTCCCCATCTTTTCTCAATTCTTCACAAAACTCTGTACCAAATCCTTTGAATTCAGTCTGGAACACATCAAACATATTGCGTGTATACATTTCTCCAGTTTGAACCTCAATTAGATGTCCAAGGAGCATGACAGGCTTTGAGTTAAGTCTCTTAAAATATTCATGGGCTTCACTTAAGCGATGATGAGTTATTGCTTTTTCATATTGTGTCACAAACTCGTGTAATTGAGTCTGTGAGTTAACATACCCATCAAAAAATGCATTAATACTTTCACTCATTTGGCTTGATCTCATTCCAGCAAAAAAATTGTCCTTCAGATAACACGGCACCCAGTGATCTCGGCATTTATAAATTGTTTGCAACCATCCCTCACCTTCTTCATTTATATCAAACTTCTCTTTCATCTCAACCCAATATCCTTCACATTGTTCAATTGAAGAACTATTATACCACAAGCCCCAATACCTTTGAAACTGTTCACCATAACGAGATACCAAAGTAGGCAAATGATCAATAATATGCTTTTGCATGTGCCAATAGCAATAACGGTGTCTTGTCGTTGGAAACACTGAGTGAATAGCATTACACATTGCTCTATCCTGATCTGTTATAATAGCACCTGGTTCAATGCCATGCATGCATTTCAGCCATTCTTCAAATAACCAAACAAAGGTATCTTCCTGTTCATCGGCTAATATGCACAACCAAGTAAAGTAGACTGCCTATGTTGATTTACACCAGTAAATGGAGCAAATGGAAGACTGAACTTATTAGTTCTGTATATCACATCAAACACAATAACATCACTGAATTTCAAATAAGATGCTCTTGATCTTCCATCGGCCCAGAAAACACTCCTCATTTGTCCACTACTGTCTACTTCTATTGCAAAATAAAATTCTGGATCATTCGCTGTCGCACTCTGAAAATGTCGAATGATAGATATGCATTCATGACCAATATTGTTGACTCTTTGGGTTCTGATATGATCAATGCATTGTTGTGATGTCACTAATTCACCTTCTCTTCCATTAGTTGCATTGATGACACGAGAAATAGTGGAAGGAGGCATACCTTCTTCTCGCAAACTATCAATAAGTTTTTTACATCTTTGAGTTTTATGGAATTGTTGATGTGATCTGTGCATTTTTGCTTTGTCTGGACTACTCAACACATGATTTGTATGTTCTTCAATAAACCCCGTGACCTCCCACGATTTGTCCTCCAATAATTTAATTCGCATCATTGCCTTACATCCCACTCGGGTCTCTCGCCGAACTGGATTTTCTATCTTGTCTCTTTTAGGTCTATGGCCCTCCTTATCACAAACATACTTTCTGTCTACTACTTCTCTAGTCTTACGGGAGTAATTTACCATGCTCTTTCTTATTCCAAAACCCATCAACAATGCATAAGAGTTATAATAGTTATAACCTTCTTCATAACTATTAAACTTTATTCCTAGTAGTGGTTTAGGAGCATTTACAGTATTGTCCGCAATTGCACTTCCAATAGCACTTGATCCGAACTCTACACTAGTTGAATTTGTTTCCTCCATTCCAGAAAATAACCAAACCTAATACAACAAAGAAGATTGAATTACAACCAGAAAAGATATAATTATGTATTTTTAGGAATAAATTGTATAAGGAAAGAGGGATAATTCATCCACACATGCAATGGAGCCAACTAGTTTTATAACCAGATAGCCAATACTGGCAATGTTAGTCACACCTGAACTTAATTACTTCGCAGTAGACTCAACCTGGACAATATTGTTTATTCCAATTAGCGTCAATTCCCTGGTTCTATAGAAGTTAGAAACAATTCTAAAATATATGCTCAAAACAACTTATTGGAATATAAAACAAAGGAGAAGAGGAAAAGTTCAATTCAGTTAAAAAATCTTTAGACTGTAAGCAGCAAGGATGTCAAGCAATCGTCAAAGAAATGTATGATTTAGGTTATGTCTTAGACTACTAACATATTGTCTAATTGAGGATGATTTTCTCAGTTAGAGCAAACTGTAGACCAATCTGAACACATGCAATCATCTATCCTTTGAGCAATCATATTTGGAGGAATTGTCAATAATTTTAATGATAATCCTCTGAGAACATGAGGCAATTTCTTCACCAGCAAGGGAAGCAAAAACTAAACATAAACTAAAACCCTTATTACTAAAACATGGACAGCTGAGTTGTCATGGGAAGGAGTGAGCTTAGTTACCTGAGAGTCAATAGTCCAGTGACGCGAGATCAGCAGCTCGACGGCCTCCAGTGATGGCGACGAGTCCGATGGTTCTCGGGAGTGATGGCGACGATAGTGATGTCAAAGGATCTGTAAGGAGGAGGGGAGAGGGTAAGGTCTGTGGGGAGGATTTGAGACTCAAATCGTGGCTAGGGTTTGGACAGCTCGACGGCCTCCAGTGATGACGGCGAAGAGACTGACGACCTCCTCCTTCGAAGGTTCGAGATCGGGTGTTTTTTCGAGGGATTGGGGAACGGCGGCCTCGATTCTCGCGGAGGCTGACGGCTCCGATGGCTGACGGAGAGAGAGAGAGAGGATGAGCGGAACGGAGGAGGATGAGCTCCGATGGCGGAACGGAGAAGGATGAGCGGCGTGGAATTGGGGATTTTGGGAGAGAAGACACAGATTTGGGGGGGGGAGAGAGAGAGAAGGTCACGGGTTTTGCATTTGGGAGGAGAGAGAAACTGGCAGTCACGAAGATATTTGGGGAGCATTTATCGCTGGGTTTTTTGTGAATAAACCCCTGCAGCGCACGTTTTCTGTGAACTGGCAGTGCACCTCCAGTTTCCTCTCTCTCTCTCTCTCTCTATATATATATAT